GATATAGGAGAGAGCTTTATTTAGAACCTCTATACTCTCTCTGATAGGATGTTGTAGAAATTATGTGAGAGGGGCAATGTGGAGGGGAGTGGGTGGGCGAACACATGAAAAAAAGGAGGAAAACATATCAGCATATGTATATAAGCGGCATTCATAGTTGAGAAATCATAAAAGACTTATTTGCTAGTAAAACTAGGGGAATCGAAGACATGCAGACCAAGATGCTGTGACTTTCGGTATGGTCGCGATAGCCTTTCGATTTATAGAAGTCGGTTGACCTCGTTTTCGCAACTTTGTCATGTAGTCAGGGCGACTTAGTTGAACGTACCTTGACCGAAGTCCTCTGCCTTAGTAGTTATCATTATTCCCAGCATCAGAGAATGTACCAAGTTCACAGTCTGATGCTGGGAATTATGATAACTACTAAGGACAAGGTGCGTTCAGCCAAGTCGCCCTGACAACAAGACCAAGTTGCGAAAACGAGGTCGACCCACTTCTAAAATTATATGAAATTTGCTGTCGTAATAATTTCAAAATAAGATGATTGATAAAGGAACTTGAAGAGTTGTTTGATATAAAAAATGATTGGAAATTGCAGACTTTTCCAGTTCGGCAGCCTTCAGTATCTCAAAGACGACCTGAATCATTCATTAATAATCATTCTTCCGACCCACCTCCCTTTTTTAGAGCTTGCATACTGTAGCTCAACAGTATTCGAGTGGACAGCTTCACCAGGCTCCGAGCAAGTTGCAATGTAGTTATTTTCAGGACGCGTTTTACAACACTGTTGGACATCCAGACTTGTAGTAGCCATGGCATGGGACGAATCGATAGACGTTTGCTCGTCATGATTGATTGAGCAGGTTGGACAATCTCTAAGCGAGTCATTTCGCTCCGATCGGGTGTTGCTCGAAGTTACCTTACAATGGGGTAGGCCTGCTCCAGAGTGGCGGGTCGGTGAGAAAGAGTCAAGCCTTGGGGGATCCGGTAAGGGTTCATCTACATCCGAAAGGTCAAGGTTCTGTAGAACTGCAGAACACGAGACGGAGTCCAAGTTGGACGCGCCGAACTTCTCTGAAAGGCTGTGTAGGTGGACAGGGCGGGTAAATTCAGGCGAAATCGACCCCTGTTCAGATGG